GGCAACGGTTGTAAAATACCTCCAGCTTACGCTCATCTTCCACGCGCACAGCCCGGCATGCAAAACCTTAGCGGACTGATCGGACGGATGCACGGTACATGCAGGTGTTCGTGGTGATTGGAGATGTTGCATCTCTCTCTATCCGACAGCAGTCTCGTCTCGAGGTATTTAAAACTGAATACTTCCTAAAGTTGAGAGGCGCCTTCTTCTGGCCAGGGATGCAGCTTGAACTTACTTTGCTTTTCGCAGCTTTTCGGGATAAATTGACATGTTTATTGACTTCATTCACCCGGCAAACCATGGATCATAAATAACAAAAGTTTGAAGCGTAGTCGAGATCAGCCCGCCGGCGTCTGTCTGCTAACTCAACATCGTCAGAAACATTTGGGACTCTTCTGAGGATCTGATCAACGGTGTACATGAACAGAACTGACGACAGGAATGTTCGATAATACAGACTTTCCTGCCTACCCAAGTTTACAGTCTCGTTCTTGTCATATTGCAATTATTTTGCATTTAAGCATTTTAACTGGAACATTTTCCCACAGACCCCCTTGAAATTTATCACCGAAATACTGTTAGGTTATGCTGTTTTCTGTTTTTAGAACTGACATTTTTGTTTCGGGAGCAGCGTGCCGTTGCCATTGTTATCTGGGATTGACAGTTCAAAAATAGAACTTTGATAAGTAGAATTATCCTTCCACTCCTCATTCTAAAGGAGAGAGAATTCATACCTAGATGCCGAGTCAATTCAGATGCACCTCCGCTTCTAATTCTGAGTTTCACCTTTGGGTGCCCTGTTTACCCCGCACGTTTTTCCCCCGTTCCGCTCCTGTCTGCTTATCCCCTGTCTGAAAAATATTGATCGAGCATGAACGTCGGCTGTGCTTCTCTTCCACGATAGAACATTTAGGTTTCTCTCAGCTGAGTTGATGCTCAAGTCTCACTTAGATGTATTAACTTGCAAACTTTTGCCTTCATTATTTGATGTTAGGCACCTATGCTACGCTAAGATTACAAAATATTTTGGCCTGTGCTCAAACCATTCAGCTGCCTTTTCTTTCAGATTCGTCCGCCTGCTGTGCCTCAAAACTTATCCGTGTCTTCAAGACCTCCTGTCCTTCAACCACAAATAATTTTGCGGCCTAATGTCGTGAGACCTACAGCAACACCCCAGGTTATTCAACCCGTTGCCCCCAGTCCCGTGGCCGTTCGCCTTCAGCCTCGGGTATGCACACAAATGATATTTTCGTACCAAGACAGATCCTATTTCATGGTATCTGATATGCACTGAAGGTCATAGGACCGTGACGCAAATTTTTGGTTTGCTGTGATTGCAAACTTGATTAACATGGGACATAAGCCGGGGTCAGTTCCTGTGCGGTAGCGTGTGCGCTTGTGGGTGACCATATTTGGACTACTTATACAAAACGCACTAGAGAAAATCGCCATTTTGTTAATGCAGGTCTTTTTAACAGATTTTGAACGTTTATTGGAATGATGTGCGAGCATTTTTGTCTGTCAGTACCCCTTTAGCTGAATATCCTACTAGTCGCCATGCGATTGCTTGCAGGGTTCTAGATTGAACCAAAATGTACAACGAAATAGGCGCATCCGGTAGCCCAATCTGTAAGTGCATCTCTACCATACCAATTTTAGGTGCAATTTTTTTTAGATTGCATTTTCCTTAAAGTGCGTGGAAGAATCGAGCTCTTTTGGTGTGCTTCAGTCTAAACGGGCCTATATACATCGAAACAATGTGCATTTCAACCTTCCTCGTTTTTAAACCCCAATCCATGCATTTTCTGTGAGAAGTCACGTTACTGTGCACGACCCCTGTAAACAGGCCTCCGGGTACTAGTAAAGTGTTATAATAGATATGGACTACGTTTAATGATGTGCGAATTGTATTACTCGTTTTGGAGGTTATACACTGCATGTGGTTTAAAGTCATTAGACAAACGGGGATTTTGGTTTCTCGGATTTTGTTTAAATTTTTTCTTTATTATCACAACATGCCTGCTTATTTGATTTCAGTAGATATTTTATAACAATATTGCATTCCCGACTGAGCTTTATGGTGCTTCAGGGCTAGTTTACGATTGGGGTTGGGTTAAAGATTATAGTTAAGGTTCGTGTAAGCGTTTGATTTATGTTTGCCTGTCACAGACCGTGCTACTCAATTCGACAGTCCTGAATTTCATGTTTTCCACCCGTTTACACGCTTCCTTATTTGTATATTTCATATTACGCGTCTGTTCCAGCTCCTCGTTGGGATAATAGAACAAACTTATGCTAAAATGCGACTTCTCTCAAAACCTTCTG